TTTGTTCATCACAAAAATACAAAACATTTGCTATCGACCCTGAATCTTATAAAAAACTGACGTCATGCTTTTTTGGGAACAACAACAGCAGCAGCAGACAACATTAAAATTTTAAATTGAATTTCTCAAAAAAAATGTGTTTCGATTTTTTTATTTATTTTTTTTTTTTTTTAAATCATGAGAACAAAACTTTTTTTGGTGGTGACAAGTTTTCTGTGCAACGGAATTGAATAAAATAACCATTCAAATTCATTCAATTTTTCAAATGAATTTCAAATTAAAATTCAATTTTAATGCCTTGTATTTCCCCTTCAAGCAACATTTGTAACGTGCTTGATGATGGCACTTCAAATCGAGTGCTTCCATGAGTTTCCTACTCACTTTGTAATATAAAAACAACAAAACATTACTTTGAGAAGTTGTTGTTTTTGTTTCGCCCTTTTTCCTTTTGCATTAATTTCTCCCTCTGGGAAAGTGTCAAATTTTTGTCAAGCGGTTGGTTAAAAATCCCTTAAGTCTATCAAATACTTCTTTGTTGCAAACAAGGCTTTACACTTCGTTCATCAAATGCCTACCAAATACAAAAGCGAACCCTTTCCTTTGCGGGCCGCAGACGAACAAAAGAAGAAGCAAAGAAAGTAACACCCAATCCAAAGTGAATGCGGCAGACCAGGCAAAACACCCCAACTGCCAAAAATACATTTTTGCGCGCTAATATTTCTAAGTGTCTCTATTTCTCAGTGAATTGATGAGAGCGCGCGAGAGAGAGAGGTGTTTATTTATGCCTATATTTCTTGGGATAAAAACAAAACAAACACAAGAAACACAAATCAAAACAGCTTATGTTTTATTTGTCTTTGAAAAAAAGTAAAAGAAAGTCGAAAGGGTATCAAAAAAGCGGGACAATAGCAACACCCAACCCAATTCTACTCAGCCAGACTCAGTATCAAAGGAGTTAACAGCACACCACAATGTTCTCATTGAGTATGTGAGGAAAAGGGATGAGAGATAATATAACTTGTTTGTGGCATAAATTTCAAGCCTCAAAAAAATCTTCCATAACTCTGCTATGAACTTCCTCCCTTTTCTCCCCTGAACAAAAAAAAAAACACCTAAACTCTTAGAGTAAAAATCTCCATTGTTTTTGTGTTAACCCTGTTCTCCAATTGTACGTTTATTAAGAACCCCTTGCATTGGTGTTGGTGTTATTGTTACCATTCTTATTGTTGTTAATAGCAACAGTCAACATAAACTCAGTTGAAATCCCCGGCCAGCAAGCTATAGCAAATCAAAGAAGTGGCAGAGAGAGAAAAAAAATAATTCTCTCTTCTTCTGTGTGTTTCCCATTAAAGAGTAAAACACACATTCTTTTCTGTTTTTTCGTGTTCTGTTTTGAACCCAGCACATTTCTAAACAAGAAATGTGGCTAAAACACCAAATGCCTTGTTGTTGTTTTTGTTGTGGCACAAAAAAAAACGAATAAGAGGAAAATTAAGTAAAGCAAAGCCACAGAATAAAATTATAACAGGCGTCACAACAACAAATAATTATAACACCGTCTGAGAGTAACCAACACCGAGCAAAACAGAGCAGAGAGAGAGAGGGACAGAGAATAACAAGAGTTGGTTTATGTTAAAATAGCAGTAGTTTTAGGAATGGAAATTACTTTGGGCAACAGATAACACATTTTAAAAGGAATTATTGAATCTAAAGTAAGGCAGGGCTATTTAAATCTATTCTAATAAGACCGTTGAAGAGCGAATTTTGAGGTTATGTGTCATAGATTGAGGTTTTGAGAATCGCTGACTTGTTTCCCATGTTATGACAGACATAAGTATTGGTCTGAATGGAATCAGACGTTATTTTCGCGTTTACTGAGCTCCATGGATACTCAAAATTTTAACCCTTTGCGGGTGAGGTACCAGAAGGAATGGTCCGATCTCTTTATAACATACCATTTGATGATAGAAATATTGAGATGTACCAAGTCTGAATGGAATCGGATGTTATTTTCTCGTTTTCTGAGCTCTATGGATACTCAAAATTTTGACCCTTTGTGGGAGAGGTACCAGAAGAAATTGTCCGATCTCTACCATCTTTATAACATACCTTGTGTTGATAGAAATATTGATATGTACCAATTCTGAATGGAATCTGATGTTAATTTCACGTTTTATGAGCTTCATGAATATTCAAAATTTTGACACCTTGTGGTGAAAGTACAAGAAGGAGTGGATCGATATTTCCCATCTTCTCAGCAGATCTTGGGTAAATAAAAATATTGTGATGTGTGAAATATGACGAGAAGCGAATGCTTATTTCGGATTTTATAATCGATTGGTTTATTCAAAATTTTGACCCTTTGTGGGAGAGGTACCAGAAGAAAATGTCCGAACTCTACCATCTTTATAACATACCTTGTGTTGATAGAAATATTGATATGTATCAAGTCTGAATGGAATCTGATGTTAATTTCACGTTTTATGAGCTTCATGAATATTCAAAATTTTGACACCTTGTGGGGAAGGTATCAGAAAGAGTGGATCGATATATCCCATCTTCTCAGCAGATCTTGGTTTAATAAAAATATTGTGATGTGTGAAATACGACGAGAACCGAATGCTTATTTTGGATTTTATGATCGCTTTGGTTATTCAAAACTTTGACGCTTTGTGGCGGAGGTATCAGATGAAATTGACCGACCTCTAGCATACTTATAACAGATATTGTGTTGATGGAAATATTGGGATGTGCCAAGTCTGAAAGGAATCGTATGTTAATTTCGTGTTTTATGGACTTCAAATTCAAAATTTTGAACCTTTGTGGGGTATGTATCAGAAGGAGTGCACCAATATATTCCATCTTCACATCAGACCTTGGATTAATAAAAATACTGTGCTGTGTGTAATTTAAAGACAATCAGCCACTTACATTACATTTTATAAAAGTTATAATTATTCCAAATTTTGACCCTTTGTGGGGCAGGTACTTGATGGAGTGGACGGATATTGTCCATTTTCGCACCTGACCTACAACATATGCAAATATTGGGATTTGCAAAATTGGAGCAAAATCGGAATATCCGTTCACTTTCTGTGCAAAAAAAAATTCTTTAAAATTTTCGAGCTTTTGTGGGGAAGGTACCAGAAAGAGTGGGCCGATATTACCCATCTCCAAACTCGATCTAAGTTTGACAATAATATTACGATGTACCAAGTTTGGATCAAATCGGATACTCCCTTCGAGGGTTATCGTGCGCACCAGCAAGACAAACAGACAGGCAGATGGACGGATGGACATCGCTAGATCGACTTTAAATGTCGTGAAACGGATTTGTTCCAAAGAGACCTGGTGTCTAAACCGTTATAACGATGAGACACGTTTTGGCCGTATCAAAAAGTATATATACACTCTGTAACTGAGGATATAACTGGCTGATGGTATAAAAAAAAGAAAGGAACAAAACAGCCGACCTTAATTTTCGACTATGTATCCGTATTTTGGAGGTCTTTTGAAAAAGTACAATATTTATGCTCCGTTCCAGTACATGAAAGAATCTACAAGTCTTGCAATTTGTTTTCGATATCATAAATGGAAAATCGGTTATCGTAGTAAAAAAAACTTTTACATTCATGCAGTTCTGGAACAGACTATTAACTAATTTTTAATTGGAAAAATGTTTTAGGTTCTGTTAAATAGAATGCAATCGTTATTATCGCTCTGGCTTCCTTATTTAGTTATCGACATAATTCGATCTAGCTTACCCTTGTACATTTACAGCATAGCGAATTTAGTAAGCCCTGTGAATTAGGGTTGCACAACTATATCAAAGATCAATGGATTTCCCTTGATAATTTTCTGGAATGAAGTCTATAAATATTAGTGCATTTTAAAAATCAAAAACCTCTGCTATTTTTTCGAGCAAAACTGTAACATCAAGACCAGAAGCCAACGGATATAAGCCATAATAGAGAGGGAATTTTACCAAAACACTTGAATGTCTGGCTGACTGGCTTAAATAACAAACACTTGCACACTCACACACACATATGCCAAATGACGGCAGAACAAAACAAAAAAAATAAGAACAACGAACTTGATTGCAAAGAGCGGTCAAAAATATTCTCTCCCTCAGAAGATATATGACTAAGTAAGGGACTGACTGTCTGTTTGACTACATGACCAAATGACAGTCACTGAATGATTGACTGACTGGCTGACTAATGAAATGACTGACTCGTCTGTTGTTGTTGTTTAGCTCCCTTTTTTCTAACAATTTGTTGGGCCTCTGTTATTTGTGGTGTTGTTGTTCTTGTTTTTATTTGTGTAATGATTGTTGTGAAATATTGTGAGCGAGAGAGAGCATTTGAGTATCTATGTGACAGACCGAAAATAAGAATTGTGTGAGTGGTTTGCTTGAATGATTTTTGTTATTGTTGTGATTTGGTGGCCTGGCCTGGCTGGCAGTTGTTACCGCGCGCCATTGGTATCTGTATGAATTTTAGACTATGAAGTCATACCAAGGCAGGCATGCTATTTGGCGTTTTCCTTTTGGCGTTTTCTTCTTTGGGGTTTCTTTTCTCTCTCTCTGTGTATTCTTTCTACTACTTGTTTTTCTTTGATGCCACTATTACTACTATGTTGCCGTTTCTTGACGGTTTGGATTGTTTGGGTTTTTAGTAGTGTTGTTGTTGCTGCTGCTGTTTGTAACCACTGAAACGTAAGCTTTTCTTGTTTTACTTTTTGTTTCTTCTTCTCATTGGCCGTCTTCTAAAGACAAGTTTTGAGTCTTTGGGCCAAGTAAGTTTTCTTAATGACTTCAAGTTGGATCGTATCGTCACCATCATCATCATCATGATGAAGACAATGATGATCAAGTCCCAGCATGTTAATGCTGGTGATGACGATGACGACGTTGTTAATTTATTTAACGGCCACAGCCCAAAAAAAACATGTTAATTTCTTGCGTTGTTGTTGTTGGTATTTGTAGAAAAAATTACCTTTTTTTGTTAAAGAAAAAAATTAAAGTTGAAATCTTGTGTAGATTTTTTGTTGTTGCTGTACGTGGTTGTTGCTGATGAATTTTCTATTCTTTAGTTCACTCGCATTTATTTTGATTTGGCTTGGGTTTTTCTTTTAAGCTTCAAGCAAATTTCCCACACAATTTATTTTTTTGTTTGCCTGTAACAATTAAACAATTTTTGATTATTATTTTTCTTCTTCTTGTTGTTGTTAATGATAGATTTCCGTTTTTCTTCATGCAATAGATTGGGAGGAAATCCACACAAAACACTAGCTAGGCATTTTTGTTGTGAAAATCAACACAACAATCTCAAAGAATGGGTATTTGACACTTCTTTAGATTTCTATTTTTTTTTTCAATTTCTTAGACGCGTCGTTTTTTTAATTTCGTTTTTGTTAAATATTTTTTTGCAGCGTTTGTTTTCAATAAATTCAAGAAGACGACAGGGCATAAAGATTTGTTGAATGCCTTCTAAATTTTTTTCTTTTGGTTTTTGTTGTTGGTTGCTTGGTTTTGCTTACTTTTTTCACATTCGCTAACTGAAAAAAGTACAAACGCACGACACGAACAATATACTCGAACTGACTGAACTGAACTGTTCCCTTTAGGAAACTTGTCATGGCAGCAAAAGAAAACTTAACTAGCCCCAAAAGATATTAACGTGTATGTGGCGAACACACACACCCAGCGAGAGAGGACATTTGATTCTCTCTTGCACTCACGGTTTCTCCATCAAAACAACACCCTAATTTTGTGGCAAACAAATTGAATACAGTGTTTCTTATTGGAGGAGCCAGTCAAATAAGAAACCAAAAACACAGAGAGTTCCTCGCACTCTCTCTCTCTCTCTCCGCACACTCACAAACACTTCGGCGGGGATTTTGTATCTGTGAGATTTGCTCTCCATTCCAATTTGCCTTCCCTGCTAGTGCGTGTAATTTTCGCACATGAAAGTGTTTTGTTGTAGTATGTCTTCTTTAGTACAGTTATCTTCTTGACGCATTGTTGCTCTATCTCTTGCTCTCTCTCTCTATCCGTAAGGTGGTTGTTGTGTTTGCGTTGTTTGTATTGTGCCACCGTCAATTGATGGGGAGCAGCCCAGTTGCAAATGTGTATGGTGCTCCATCATTATTGCATGCTCTCCATTCCTCATTTACTCTAGGGAGGTAGTGATGCATAGGTCGACAATCGATAAATCGGTTTTATCATTTGATATTTGCAACATTTGACAAAGTAGGCGATGCACATTGATTTTTTTCACTTTAAAACGACAATGAATTTTTCTTGAAATTAAAAGTAAAAATTATGAAAAAATAAGGAAGTTAAATAAAGAAAATGTCACAAATAATATAAGGTGTGAGTAAATAAACAGCTTAAAGTCTTCTCATTGCATATTTTGTGACATATCGTAAAGGGATTCTTTAGTCGTTTCCCTTATAATTTGACATTAATACACCTAGCCATGGTGGAACGTGAATATAGATTTTTACTGTCATATCTCGAAAACTATGATAGATATAGAAAGATTTTTAATTTGTCAGATGGGTAAAGAAATGTAGCATTTACAAATCAAATTCAAACCTACATATGAGATCTTGTGCAGAAAGGTGATAGAGAAGGCCCCCTTTCCGTCCCTAATTTGGTACTTGATCAGACTCAATAATTTTTTTTATGTTATTGGACTGAGAAAAAGTATTGATGTGATCCGAAACTACAAGAACTTAAAAAGAGTTTTACTACAAGAAACGATTTTCTCTTTTTGATATCGAAAAAAATTGCAAGAATAGAAGATTCTTACAAGTTCTGGAACGTAGCGTATATTTGAGCAAAACATGAAACAACATATGCCGAATTACAATAACTTTAAGAAAATGTGATCTAAACGGTTAAAATGCCGAATATCGGGAGGTAAAGTTATATTCAGGGTGAGATGAAAAAACTGCAACCAACTTCAGACTGCTCTCATTTCTAAGCCACTCCTCCGACAGCTGTTAAAATTATTCCAGTGACAGCTCATTATATTGTTTACAAGCGTACAAAAGCATTTTGGTGAGAATTTTCCAGAAAAAAAGTTATTCATGATAGAATTCAAGCGTGATAGTGTAATTTCTTCATATTTGGCTGGAGAACCACAAGTGGCTATCGTTAAAGCACTCCAGCATTTAAATGTGAATAAATCTTTTGTGTCTCTTACTATCGCCCGACGTCAAGGAAGTGGGCGGAAGAAAACAGCAACATCAACTGAAATGGTTCGAAAAGTAAAGAAGCGACTTGATCGAAACCCGCATCGCAGTAACCGAAAAATGGCTCGTGAGCTGAACATATCGCAATATTCCATTCGGCAAATATTGAAAAATGAGCTCGGTGTAAAGCCATTGAAATTCCAAAAAGGTGCAAGAACTAACACCGCAACAGGAAGAAACTAAACTCAAAAGAGCTAAAGAGTTGCTTGGTTTGGCCGAAATTGGTGAACTGCCGAATTTGGTTTTCTCCGATGAGAAAACGTACGTTGTCGACCAGTTTGTAAACAAACAAAATGATAGTGTTTACTTGCCAAAGAGGTCAGCTGAAAATGTGCACTTTCGGTTGGCCACCAGAACTCAAGCGTCGGTGATGGTGTGAGCCGCCATAACAGCCGATGGTCGCTTTCCGCTCGTATTAATCGACCATGGCATCAGAATAAATCCCGAATATTATCGCGAAAATATTTTGGAGGAAATATTTTGGTTGGGCACGCAAACATTTTGGCCGCAGACCTTGGACATTCGAAGAAGATTCGGCACGCGCCACCCAATAATGGTTACGAAATGAAGTTCCTCGCTTCATTTCCAGCGCACAACACAATGGCCACCAAAAACTCCGGAACTCCAATCCGTTGGACTATTGAGTCTGGAGTATTTTGGAAAGCAAGGTTGGCACTAAAAATACCAAAGTGTCGATCACCTCAAGCAAGCGCTTCGCCGGGAATGGGCCAAAATACCGCAGAGCAACATTCGGGCAGCGTGTGTGTGGTTTCATTGGCCGTTTGAAGGCCATAATTCGTGCCAAAGGTGACCAATTCGAACAAATCTAAACTTAAACTAAATTTTGATGCTATTTCCAACATTTTTTGCATTCATTCAATAAAATTTAAAAAAATAAATATATAAAAATCAGCGTTTGACTTTGTTGTAGTTTTTTATCGCACCCTGTAAAAGGCAAATCGAACGAAGATATATATGGGAGCTTTATCTAAATTTTAACCGATTATCTTCAATTTCAATAGGGTTCGCCTTCTTGGGTCAAGCAAATGACTTGTGCACAGTTTCATCTGGATCGAAAAATAAATGCGACCTATACTTTGTTTAAAAAATACATGGACAGACAGCGGACGGACAGACATGCATACATCGACACAGAATGTGATTTAATGCAGTTCATCAAAAGGAGCTATGGGCCTATCTCTTTTCCTTCTGCCTGTTACAAATAAATACACAAAGACATAATATCCTGACCAACTTGTGGTATAGGGTATAAATATTGAAATGCATGCTCCATAGCATGGCGGAGGTTATAAATATATTTAATTAAACCTTCTGGGTTTGACTTTCTTCAACTATCACAAAAAGTGAACTTTCGATCTATGTATCCCTGTCTGTTGGCTATGTTGCATGGCTGTTAAATACAGATGGTGGGTTTTGTTTCACACTCAATGGGGACTGCATTACCGACGCGAAATGTTAGCGCATTTTTTAACATTTTTGTTAAAAAGTTACAAATTCTTGGTTCAGTGGGATGGTACTCACTTCCTTTGAATACAAATAACGTGCAGAAACAGGACATAAATGGTAGGATATCCAAATAATTGAATTTTTTGTCTTCTAAATCATTTAATTTAAATTCAGATTTGCAGAAATTAAAAATATGAAAGGCATACAGAGTAGCTTTTAGTTTTGATCAATGGCATTTTCATTGAGACCACAGCTTCCTTTGGTCATTGGACACAAATGTCTTAAAGTTGCAGAGAAAGTAAAAATGAGATAATCTAAGAGCTATGAACAATGCTTATGTTTTCTGGTCTATATTCCTCCCAAGACCTTGCACCTGATGATTGGCAGAAGATAATTCACTTCATGCTCTGGGGGTTCATTCTCTTGGCTTCGTGATGGTGGTAGCGGCTGTGAACTATGGTTTGAAGAAGCTGTAAAATCTAGAAGAGTTCACCATGGTTTCGTGATGGTGGTAGCGGCTGTGAACTATGGTTTGAAGAAGCTGTAAAATCTAGAAGAGTTCAGGGGCCACCTATTAAAAAAGAAAACACCTCCATTTAACATTTTTTTACGTTCATTGTGTTTTCGTTCTTTTTTATTTATTTATTAAGCTTGAATCTTAAATTTAACATCATAATCTTATATACTACAATATTTATATGTTTTTATTTCCAATATTTTATTAACTTGTTCTTTTTTTCATACAAACATTTCACACACACAGACAAACACTCACTGGACAAAAAAAAACACTGCAACTATTGTGGTATTTTACAAAAATACACATGTGACGATCGCTACAAATTCTCGTTTTTAGTTTCCTAGTTTCTCATTCCCTTTAAGGATTTCCATCTCCTGGAAGGAGCAGGAAGATTTATTAAGCATATTTAAAAACATAAACAAAATAAATGCAAGAGTCGTTGTGTACGGCAGAGGGAGGGGAGGCGAATTGGTACCACCTACCACCCCTACCCCTCCTGGTTACATTTGTGTTGAGTGGTAATGATGAGGACTTCCATAGAGCAATGGAACTTCTGAGGGTCTTTTACTGAACACCTACCCTTTTTTAAGATACTATTCCTAAGGTGAAAGATATGCTCTGTTCCAGAACTGCAAGAATATGATACTTTTTTACAAAGATAACCGATTTTCCTTTTATGAAATCGAAAAAAATAGCAAAACTAGTGGATCATTGCAGGTACTGGAACAGACCAATGTTTTAAGAGTCATCGTGACGAAAGCAACTTCGCTTTTTAAAATAACTTCTAAGCATATTTCATTAATAGAGGCCCTTTGACAAGTTCATGTACCGGCAGAGGAACTTTCAGTGGATTTTTTCTCTGCAAGACCTCTAAAGGGTATCTAATTGATAGAAATTCCTTGTGAGAGAGGCCCTTCTTAAAAAAGAGCTTTTGTAATTTAAATAACTTTTTTTGCTTTCAGAATTACTTCAAAAAAGGGGGTCTCTTCGCTAAATCCCCTTTGAAAGATTCAGTTTCAAGGGAACAGTAGTCTTCAAAGTTCTTCTTTTAAATGTCCTCGAAATGTCTTATACCTTATGAATAGTATCTTATGAAGGTAGGCGTTCCTTCATAAGATACTATTCTTAAGATGTAAGACATTTTGACGTTCTTGGGTGGACAAGACTTCGAATATTAAAAGAAGAACTTCTAAGGGTCTTTTATTAATAGAGGACCTTCGACATGTCCATATACCGGCAGAGGAACTTTGAATGAATTCTTTTTTTGCAAGATCTCTAAAAGTTATTTTATTGACAGAAACTTTTGTTGGGAGCAGACTTTGTTGGGCCTTCTTTTGGTAGATCTTCGTGGGATCTTCATGCGAAA